AAGACATACTTCATATCATTAATAAATGAACTGAAAAGGAGAGATCCCTGGAAAACAGGGATCGTTGAGGTTACGTTAATTTCATCAGATAGAACTTAAAGATGTTATGTTGAACAACCAAAAAAATATCAAAGAATTGAAAGACATCATTCGAAAAGACATTCACAACATTTCTATCGCCATGTTGGATAACGTATTTCAAAGTTTTCGAAGCCGGTTGCGATTCTGTGCAGATTCCAACGGACAACATTTTGAAAACACTTACCATTAGTTTATGCGCGCAAGCAAATTTCTGTCTCTTTTTTATATAATATGTATTTACATTATTAAAATTTTTCATAATATGTATTTACATTATTGCGTATTTCTTTTATACGTGTGGTAATAATATTGTCAAGTTTCTTCCACAAAATGGCGTTTCATTCATTTTGTTCGACTTATTTATCGCGAATAACCATTTATTTTCAACATAATCTTAATAGTCACCCTGCATCTGCGTGAATGAAATTTTCATGGGCGTAAATATTTTTTTCCCTAACGACAAGCCTGCGATCTAGCAACGATTCAATTCTTCTTACCTTGCGCGTCGCTCGTCTGGTCGTCCTGATCGACTAACAAATTCAGTCATACCTCATGCAAATCCCACGAAGCCGCGAATCTCGGAAGCCCGCCTTGAGACGCGTCTGCATTATTTACCGCCGTGTTCGAGATTCAACCGGCTGCTCCCACTCCGTCGGTAGTCTCGCTTGGATCATCATGTTCCGATGATATTTATAAAGCAATATTGTTGAGAAAACGAGAGAGGGGAAGAGCAAGAGAGAGAGAGAGAGAGAGAGAGAGAGAGAGAGAGAGAGAGAGAGAGAGGTAGAAGCAGGGTCATCTATAATTTCGAAGTTGTAGTGGTCGTAGACGAGAGGCAACATCTCGCGCACACGTTCATAAGCGAGAGGAAGAAGTCATGTCGTTTCAAGGGCTTTCGAGAGAAAACGGCCGGGTTATTGGAAAACCGTGGCGGAGGTGCCGGCGAAGAAGAACACATAAAATCAAACCAGCAACAAGCTGTAAAGTCTTATATCTCGAAACGTCAAATAAAACGCAGTGAATCTCGTTAATAACTGATCGAGAAATCTGGCTTGCCTATCCGCGCATTTCGCATCAAAGCAGATTTCGATATCGTCTGACGTCATAGGTGGCGCGTATGTATGCGTCGTTAACGGCGTATGCTTTGACAATTAGTCAAACGCGTGTTTGTCGGGATTAAAGCGAAAAGTCACGAATGGATGGCATGACGAACGCGAGTTCCTGCAAATTAATCCCGCTAAAACTTGTCGGTGGCTGTTCCGATCGACTCGTTAACGCCCCGCGAGTTCGCCGAAGCTCCACGAACTTGTCTCTCTCTCTCTCTCTCTTTCTCTCGCGCGCGCGCACGCGCACAGCAAGATTTATTTGGCCAACAACTCGATATTCCAATCTTGCCCGCGCTTCGCGGCTGATCGAATCACGTTCGATTAATACGTTTGTCCGCGGTAGCACCTGTACTGAAACTAAATGCAGACGGAGTCGTCGTTTGATATGTAAACGAGAACATTATGATGCCGCGAGCAAACTCGACTGCGGCTTGATATAGACTATTTAGAGTCACACGATGCGACGATTAAATTCGTTTAATGAACATTGACAATGTTTTCATATCACACACGCGGAAAGGTCAATACGTTGATGCGTGATGATAGCAGCACTCGATCGTATGTGAGTGAGAGTTTCGATAAATAGCTCCTATAAATAGTTTCAAATAATTATAAAGCCCGAGAGAGAAAGAGAGAGAGAGAGAGAGACACAGAGAGATTTTATATATAATTAAAGGAAAAGTAAGATAAATACGAAAATAAAAGTAAAAATAGCAATAAAGAAACTTTGGCAGGAAGAAGTAAAACCGTTGCAGAATAAAAAGGGAAGTAATATAATAAATTTACAATATGGAAGAATATATGTGTGTGTGTGTTGTTAATGCAACAATCTAATGTTTATTAGGTTTCTAAACAGGAAAATGCATAAAGGTCATGAGAAACAACAAGAATTAGGAAATTGGAATAATCCGACTTAAGGGCGATATTCGTAGCCGTAAATTATTCGCAATCTCCTATCGCAAGCGCAATAACATAATTACAGATCCATATCCAGAGCTATTATTCGGCTCCGTTCGGATCAATATTTGCACGAGGTCGGAGCGGATGGACGAAGTAATTAGAAACCCGCGAAGCTACGATTATTTGGCAAATAATGACGGACTATATACAGCGGTTCTATCTGCGAATTATTTGCCATCTTTGGTCGAGAGCACAGTCGCAGATTCGTATATTTGTGAACTGCTGTTCGGTTGCTTGGTTAGATATTTCTTGCATGAAAGAAATACTAAAGGCCGACTTCGTACAAGTAGTAAGTGTAACATATAGATCAGTATAACGGGTTGCCTGCCCCTATTCGGAGAATAATGCAGAGGTTGTCGAAAAAATCACTCGTTGATAATGATATTTGCAGTGCACCCAATTATGACGAGTGCAACTAACTTTGAACTATGATCATTATGACAGTTTATCGACTGTTTATGACAGGAATCGAGTCTTATTGAATTAAAAAGAAATGTTTGAAAAACTGAAACTGAGAAATAAACACTACGGATTTAATCATAGTAAATAAAAATAATAGTTAACGAGATAAATAATACAACATATTTTCTTGTTTCACATAATTTCCTAAGAAGTCTTACATATTATATTCCATCCATATTTCTACAAAAGATCACTTCTGATCGATGACAACTATTAAACTCTATTTTCGATAAAAGAGGCGGTACAAGACTATGACGACTGAAAATATGTCACTTAATAATTGTCGTCGATTAAGTTGCAATCAATATTTATACTGCGTTTCTAGTCGATTCATACTTTTGCAGAAGCGATCTTTTGTAGAAACATGCGTGGAATATGGTATAATAGTATAAGACTTCTAAATATTTCTATAGCGTTCTTTTTAATCTCTAATTTCTATCAAACTTTTCAACGCAAAAAAGAAATTAAAAAATTATGTGAAACAAGAAGATATGTTGTATTATTTATCTTCTTATCTATTACTCTTATTTACTCTGTTTAAATCTTTAATGTATATTTCTCACTTTTTTAATTCAATGATTTAATTCAGGTTCACTTTTTTAATTCAATGAGGTTCGACTGCTGTCATAAACGGACGATAAACTGTCACAACGATCACGGCGCAAAGTTAGTTGCATTCGCCATAACTGGGAACACTGCACCATATCATTATCAATAAAGTCAACGAGTGACTTTTTCGGCAACTTCTGCATTATCGTCCGAATAAGGGCAGGCAACCCGTCATACTGATCTATATGTTAATGTTACACCCTATACAATCGAAGATTTAAAGAGAACTACGATTATTTGTCAAATAACGACTAACTATGAAAGCGGCCTTGCAGCCTCGATATTATTCGCGTGAGTACGAGAGTGCCTGTTTAAAAGATTTACGACGTTACCGCGAAAGTTTCGTTCCCCGGTCACGATGCATTTTGTATCTCGTCGGCAGATTACGCGCATCACGGAAAAGCTTCTTCGCCTCGCTTCTTAGAGGATACTCCGCGACGTCGATAATTTTGTTCTCTCGTTCTTTCGCGCTCATATCCCCCTATCGCATTCAAAGCTTTGTAACAGCTGCGTGTGTTCACTGCTAAACGCGGTTACTCGGTTCTCCTCTCGTGTTTACACGGAATATGAGTTTCACTTTGTATCAGACGAGACTCAAGATAGGACACCTGCGCGGATTGGGCTAGATGCGATATGAAGTAGAGATGGATCGTCAGAGGGATTACTTACCGAGGAAATCACGGCGTACCTCCAACCTTTTGCAGTCCAACGTCGACTGTAACTCGACATTTTTTTTATACTGAATCGCTCACCAGACTATTGAAAATGAGAAAAAATTTTTTTCTCGTGTAAATATATATAAAAGATAAAATCTCATCGATTTTGTTTTATTTTGTAATATGTTGTAGAGATTGAAATTCTGTGAGCTTCTTTTTATATCCTTTTATAATATAACTTTATAAACATAATATAAGAATCGCTTGTAGTTTTCGAAATATTTAACTTTAACGTTTCAGACTTATGTAGGCACAAAAGTTGTTTCTTTTTATAATCGTACATTTGTTGTTATTTTGAGTTAGATTAGGTTAGGTTTTTGTGTACACATAAAATGTGCGCAGCGAGTGATTGCGTATAGCTATTTCATACTATACTGTGTAAATCACTTATATTGAATACATTATGCAAAGTATCGTTAATTTATAATTCTAAATTTTAAGCTTATTAAATAAATAAACAACAATTTAACTTAACCTAACTCAGAACCTAACAACGTATGTTGTGTGTATGATTATGAAAAGACAACTTTTGAGATGATTCCAATATTTTAAAGTCGAATATTTCAGAAACTACACATAATCTCGATATAGTTGTATTATAAAAAGTTACATAGAATTTCACACTCTGTAACATATTTCAAAATGAAAAAAAAAATCGGTAGGGTGTTTTATATTATATTTATCAAAATTTGGACTGCAATGTGCTAAGAATTACCTTCGCGATCTTTCTCGCCTCTCCAATGTTCCACAAGGAAGTCACGCGTCTCTTTTCTTCCTCCTCCCTTTCTCTTATTAGACTAAAGGCAAAGTTTTATTGCTCATACTCGACGATTCTCTTTACGACCGGACCGACGACGTTTCATTTCGATCTCGCTTTTCGCGATACGCAGCGGAGAGAGAGGAACCCTTGGGATATCTCGCCCTCCGGGCGGAGACTCACAAGCCGGATCTCACAACTGGATTAAAATCATCCTTATCCATCCACCCCGCTTGCAATGTTAGATGGGCGGCCATTGGTGCGTGAAAGCTCAGAATGCGCGAATAAACGTTACACAAAGACACTCACCCTCCTCGTCCAACAGTATATTGTCCGGTTTGATGTCCCGATGGATAATCTTGTGGGTCTGCAGGTAATCGAGCGCCAGTGCGATTTCGGCCACGAACAGTACGACGCTTTCCTCGCTGAACACAATCTCCTGTTGAATGTGGTATCTCAGATCGCCACCCAAAAGTAAATCCGATACCATGAAGAGATCCTCCTCGTCTGTAACACAACGACGAATCTCACTCAGGGATGAGTCTGTTTCTCAGGTAAATATTAACATCAATGATGACCTCACCGATTTCAATAACCTCGACCTATGTTGTCAAGGATATAGCTCTGACTAACTTGCAAAAAGTTTTATTGCCGTTGATGATTTATTGAAAAGTTATTAACAAAAAAATTTCATGAATAGAACCTATTTTCTCGACACAGTATACGTTAAAAATGTTGAACAGTATACACAGTGTGCGGCACCCTGCACCAGAAAAATCTAATTTAATCTAACTTAACTTGTATTTTGCATATGAGCGTAGTTGAAAATGTCCCATTAAAACTCACAATAAACTCGATATAATAAAATATCACGCATCGCGCTTCGATGTTTCTTGGAGGGAATCGTAAGAGCAATTCCGAAGGATGTAACATGCGAATTGCAAACCATTTTCTCTTGTGATGCGCGGGTGTGAATTTGACAGCAGACTGAGGAGGAAGGTTTGAGCGAAGAAAATTCGTAAACACGAACGAACGAGCGGACGAGCGAACGCAGCAAGCCGTTCGATCGACTCGCGAATGCTGTATTAATATTAATGTGGCTGTTAAACGAACGCTCGTGGAATAATTCATACTGCTTGAAATTGTGACGATCCTGTTATTTGCCGTTTTGCCGTTTTGCCGTTATATGCAAATTACCGTGCCCTCCGTTCCTCGATATAACGTATCTGGTAAATATTCACAATGTAATACCGATACATTGGTAATTTACCGGAACGCGGTCGAATGGGTCGGAAAAGGCTTATGTTCGAGGTATAGTCGATAGATTAACTTCTTCAGCGATTAACGGTGTTCGTCTGCCGCATAATGTTACTTGACGGTCGAGTGCAAACGTAGCGCAAGATATTTTCGTATATACGTATTTTTTGATAAAATATCACTAATATGTATAATTTGCTTTCAATAAATAAAGAAAATTATTTTAAAAGCTCAATTAAGAATTACAAGTTATATTATTATATTATTATATTATATTATACAAGTATTATTATATTATATTATTATATTATATTAACTATGACAAATCGGAGGTGGGAAAATTATTTTGTAAAAGTAGCTAATTTCAGTTACAAGTTATCGATTCTGAAAAATAATTCGTTACAGTTAATCAAAAAGTAACGATTCGTTATTTTCTAGTTATTTTCTTGCGATAATTGTGCACTATTTTGTATTATTTTAAATACAAGAAATCTCATATTTCAAGTTTTATTAATTCATTATATTAGAGGAGGTGGTGTTATGGCCCTTGTAGGTATTATGGCCACTCTCAATATCTCCATTATTAGCGAATTCCAGTTATTATTTATGGAATCATATATTTAGTGGTTCACCATTAGCACAGTGACGTTAATAAATCAATACACAATAGCTAATACTTTTTATAACGCATCTTTATTTTCGAGCACTTCGAAATGTTTTTCACGATATATTTTAGCATTGAACTAAACATGTTTTCTCATTATTTTTAAACTTGAACATATTATCACACGAATATATGTACATTTGAGTGTTTTATTTGTTACTTAATTTTATTCCGCTGTGCCTATTCCAAGTTATGCAAAGTTAACGAAATATCATAGCATGACATTTTGCTAATGTAGCCCCATAAAAGTGTTGATAAATACTGTTTCTCTTTCGAGGTTTTCATACTAAAATAATTATTCGACAAGTCGATTCTAATCTATAGTCTATTGTTGCATTTATATTTGCACTACACCGCTGTCTTTTTGGCAGATTGTATTTCCCAACAAGTAAGTCAATATCCACATTAAAAATTCGCAGTTATATTCATTATTATTCTCCCTCTAACAGTTTAATTTGAATAAATATATAATTTCATAATTAAACACTTTGTGTTATTTTAAACAAAATCAATTTTTTGTGTTCGTTTCAGTGGGAGGCCATATTACAATTCCATTTTCTCGCCGACCCATTATGCTGTGTTGCCACATTTTGATAAATAACATTCTAAGTAACAAAGATTATGTAAATTTGAGTCTGTAACCGATTAAACAACACTGTGACATATGTAATCATTCAGTTCTTACTTTAAAATATTGATTATTGATAAAGCTATTGTACAAAATGTGAATGGAGAACCATAATAGTTTCCATAAGAACCATAATAGAACCAGCTTCTCCTTTACTACATACACTTAATTATATATGTGTACTATATTGGATACTATATTGAATATTCAATAATCTCTCTCTTGTGAGATAAAAGAATTAAACCACATGTTTTATATAAATATTGATAAATTCATTGTAAATGTGTTCTTATTACAAGACAATATATAATATTATAATAAAGTATAATATTTCAATATCCAGATATATTTTATAATTGCATAAATATATTTTATATCTTTATAATTATATTGGTATAATTAATATTATAATAAAATATGTTTTAATATTTTATTAAAATTTATTAAGATATTAAAAAATATTTTATTGTAATATTAATAACATATATAATATATAATAATAATTTTAACAATATTCACTTCCTGCAATAATTTTCCTAATTAATTAATTTTCCTAATTTTAATAAATGATCCTCTAACAATTTCGTAAAGTGCTCAGTACAGTAATCTGTATAATTATAACCAGTTATGAAGTAACTATTAAAATACCTATTAAATTAGTTATTAGTTACTAGAAAAATGTAACAGTTACTTCAAGTTACAGTTATAAATAAAGGAAAAGGAATGAACTTAGGTTACAGTTACCGAGAAGAAATAACTATAACTGTAATAATAAAGACCGTTGATATAAAATTGAATACTGCGAGGATAATTATATGCCATCTCTACGACTTTGTAAGGAAAAAATGTAAGCATACTAAACATATTTTATATTCGCATGATCAAATCATCAAGTGTGTTACTAGTCCGTTGGTAACAACAACTTGGAACTTTCCAATCACATTTTACAAATCATTTTTCGAGTAACGAATATTTGTATTTTGTCCTATCTTCAAATATTATTTACTTTGTCGACAATCCGCGTGGTGTGCGCGTATAAGGAATACTTCTAAATATTTCTCCAGTGTCCTTGGAATAATCGATAGGTATACATCCGAGTGTGTTCTGTGCATAGAGAAATTTAATATTTTCACTACGGTACCGAATTCCGCGCATTGTTCCCGAATTGAAATAACAAGCATATAAGTAATTACTCAATACATCATACAAAAATTGCCATGCAACATTTGTCTCGATTACCGGTGCTTCATGCTCCACTGACGACAGTTCGTTATAATAAGTTCTTCAATCCAAACCTTTGTCATATTTGCAAGGCAACAGTTGCTTACTATTTCATAACTTGTGATCATTGTCACATGGTCATTTACTGTAGTCAGGAACACAAACAGTTACACCAGTTGCAACATATGCAAATTTGCATAGCGGTAAGAGAATTATTAAACATGGACGCAGGATGGGAAACTCGTCGATTAAGTAAGGAGGAATGGATCCAGTCGAGGCAGGAGTTGATGCGTTTAATTAAGGAAAAACTGTCGCGTAATCTCGAATTGCAGGAGATGGCGATGATCATATATGCAAAGTCGTGTCGTATTTGTCACCAACAAATGAATCTGCTAATATGCACGACGTGCTATTCCGCCAACTATTGTATTGAGCACGCGGAATTATTTCAAATCGTCCATAGCTCCAATTGTTACAACCAATGGTTATTTCTTGTTCTAGAAGTGGCATTTATAAATAACTTTTCAGTTTTATTAAAATTCAATCTTTTATTCGATGTGTATGAACCACTTATAAATATGCATGCATTTATTCAAAAACATCTAAAAACAGGACCTTATAGGTATTTAAGTGTTACTTTCTTTCCTTATGATTATTTGTATTCCGACTTCGCATCAGCACCGCTGACGTTATATCACGGGCTGCGGGATACAGAATTATTTGATTCTTTAGAGGTAGAAGGTAGTTACTATGTTATTCATATAATAGGCATAAAGTATTGTTCTGGAGTACGTACGCCACCTTGGGAGCTTTTCCTGCATCTTTTAAATCATATACGGCATTTAACAATTGTAATGACAGAACTAAATTTTAATACAGAATGTTTTTACATTGACACTTGTAATCACTGTAAAGAACGTAACCGAACAATTAGCATTGAGTTTTATTCAATGTCATATTACAGTTATGTGCAAAGTAATGTATATAAGCGACCAAATGTAATTATAGGATTTCAAATAGATTTTAATGATAGGTTTACATGGTCGGAAACGATTTTAGAATTACCTAAGCAAAACTGTCCCTTGTTTTTAACATTTATAATAAAACTTAAAATGGAAGAAAGTATAGTTAAATTATGCACAGTTTTAAATACACTATTAACTCCTTTATATCTTGGCGAAAATAAATTTCATTCCTTAGTGCCATGTAGAACCCCAGGGAGTGATGATATGTTTTATCATAATAAATATTTAGTTATCTTTTCGAATTTAAATTAATTATAGAAGACATGCAAATCACTTGAAGTTTTCATAGACATTTGTAATATCACTTTGTTATAATTTTTGCAAATAATATGACAGATTGTATACAATTTGTATGACAGTATGACGATGCGTATATCTATATGTGTGTGCGCGCGCAAGCATACGCATAATTTTCATATGTATAAAACACAAGATGTACATAATAAAAATATGTCTGAATACACGTATGTTTCGGATTAATATCAAATATTTGAATCTGGTAGTTGTGGTAAAAACATCAATAAATTTTCAAATTTACTAAAAATACGGAGTAAATTCAAATATAGCTACGTAATAACGGATATACATAACGAAAAACGTGCTTATCTTTTTGATATTAAAGAAATTATAGTATTGTGTCATTTCTCGCAGTCGTTCTCCTATCAGTTAATTAGTGAAATTAACATTCCGTCTTTGAGAGGGAGAGAAGGGG